TATATACATAATGGACAAATTGTACTTCTTGGACAGCTATCTTACTGGGTGCACGCATAACCGATAAATTGTTAGCATGTTTACAAAAGGCTCGATGGGCATTTGCTAACTTTTGTCGCACCATCACGACATCCGGGTCGGGTGTAAGCTGCAGCAGTCCGGCCAGTGCAGAGACTTGGCCATTACGGGAACAGGATAAAAATAGACTGTCGGCGTTCGAATACCGCCGTCTACGCTGTATTGCACCAGTTTGGTAGGAAAAGTGGACAGACAATGCTGAGATTAGACGCAGTTTTGGGAGCCCGCGGTCACCCACTGGGGTAAACGGGCAAACTCTATAGATTACATTGTTTGCGGCATGTATTACGCATGTCAATAAATAGATACCCACGGCGCGCAATGTTTGTCGAGGCAGGTAGCGATTGAAAAAAGCATGGGTGGTCAAACCAAGACCTGGCATGAGGGTATGAAACCCTGACCAGGCGACCTGCTCACATAGGCGGCGTTTGGCGCGCTGGAAGGGGACCTCAAGACCATCGTAATTAATGATTAGAGACGGTGAGTTGCAAATAGAGGTGCTCGTACTCACGATACTTGCAACCTTGGTCTACATGACTTTTCTATCTTCTCTTTCACACTGTTCGTAACATTATCATCTTCATTCTACTCTTCTATCCAAATTGGCTGCTTAAAGACAGCAACCAAAATCCTCGCACAAAGATGCAATGGTTGTAAAAAATTGAAACTCATGACGACGCGCGAAAGAATAGTCCCTTCATGAACTTTGAAAAGTTTACTGTTTTTGGACAGGGGAATCTTTTACATGAAAATGATAAATGAGTTCAAGTAAGAATCGTTTGCTCAATATATAGTTATTTTCTCATCATAAGAGATGAGAATAACTTGTACCTACCTTGGTATACTTGTACGCTTCCTCAGCGGTACATTCAGCCATCGCGGTTGGATTGCTCAGAGCCATGATTAGCGGCTTTTCGTTCAGTTCAGCCATCAAACCAAGGATCTTCGGAGTGAACGTGCGTGGCACGGCTGCTGCACCAAGCAGCGCGGTACATTTAGTATATTTGATTATCTGTACAAAGAAAATGTTTTCCAATCAGGGAATGAAAATCATATCAAGAGTTAAAAGAGCTCACGAGTGAGACAAATACGATTACTTCAGCAAAAAAGAATAATTTTCTTAGTTGGTTGAGACATGATTGAGAAATTAACCCTCATTATTATATTTTGGCAAAATCGAGCAGCTGATAGATGCATAAGTGACAGGAAATGGACAACTAAGTTCGTAAGATGAGTGCGATTGCATAACCCATATATAATCCAGATCTCTCAATGCTAGATGGGGTTGGAATAATCAAAATATTCCTTCCATGTCAATACTGTTCTTGTTACACATCAGAAGAGGCACGCCTAGTAAAGAGAAGCTACCGATTGACTTTCAACACCGGTTATTCAATCCCTGCGGTATAGAATGGTCTCAATGGGAAGATGATAGATTTCAAACACGACGATAACGGGTAAACCTATCACCGAAATTCGGTGACGATAACTAAGTTGAGGTATCTAGCACCACTGAATGCTTGCAACAACGAATTAAACTGTTTGAAGATCATCACAATGTACATCGAACATATGTTGAGGTTCCATCAAGTCATGCAAGAGGGCTTGCGAGTGGATAGTGTAATAAATTAAAAAGCATGTCACGCAAAGAAGGCATAGAAGTAAAATACCGCTGGCTTCCACTGTCACAAATTAATCTTTGGGGAAGCCGCTGACCCTAATTAATCACTGGTAATGTATTGAAGGGCAGTAAAAACGCCATAGGGGTATACAGAAACACAAACGAGAACAGGACCCGGAGTTTAATAGGTTTACCTCTTCTAGCGAAGTAAGTTCGGGAGTCCCAGCAGGTCGAGCAAACTCCAGTTTGTGACTGGTTAAACCACCCGTTTTTCGATCTTTCACGACCAGACCTTTGCTGTCCACAAGGAACAAATGTTCCTTTGCTTGCTCCTCAGATAGACCGTAACGACGTGTCAATGCTCGGGTGACCAAATGCGAAAAACCAATAGCAGCTTCACCAGATCCATAGCACAAGATTCGCTCCTCGGACAACTTGCGTCCGGTCAGTTGCAGTGACGCCAACAATCCAGCTAGGACAACTGAAGCAGTTCCCTGAGAAAACAAGTAACACGATTAATAATTAACAGTTTAGGGAATTTTGTAGAGTAGAATTACTGCTTAAAAGCAATATTTTTTCTTTCCCGAGCATGAATATCTATAATACAAGATGGTGCACTTTTCCAGAAATCTCTGAACACCATCAATCGGACAGGTAAATATACCAAAAAAATGGACATGAAAGTTTAGTGGATGCGTAAAAAAGAAATTCATGACTTTATATCTCTTAGTCACGACAAAAGTGCAGCCCAGGAAGGGCAACCAATATTTCAATCGTTACCGCTCAAAGCCAGCATTCCTTGTTTCTTGCACGCAAACTCGAGATAAGCTTTCTTCACTACCCACTAACAGGTCGTAGGTTGTTTTCTTCCATCCGGGAACAAAAACCACGAACGGGACGCGGTTAGGAAGGCAGTGGGATACCGAAAAAAAATTATATATACGACTGCGAGGGCTGACTCATTCACACAGAGGAAGTACGGAGACTAAGCATCCTTGAACACCGTTGCTCCCATTGCATCACCAGAATACGTTGGCAACTGCGAAGCACCAACGATGAGATTCACCGAAGATAATCTTAGTCGTCCTCTGAGTGCCACCATCTTTTTTGTTATCACACACCTAGGTGTGATGAACAGCAGACGGGGTAAACCCCATAGTCACAAGGACCTGCTGTTCAATGGTTGAAATCGGCAACCTAAGCCCCGGAACTNGTATTGAACCGGACGACAGCAGAGATGCCTACCACCAAAGTTGGGTGGCGGTGCTCGAACCTCGGACCATAGGGTCCAAAGCACGCCGGTGACAGCGACTAAACCACTGCGCCACCACCATCATCTTGCTCCAAAGACTAGGATGACAGAAATGTTTCGAGGATGCCGGTTCAACGATTGCGCCATCGTGTTATGTACGGACAAGAAGACAGTAACCGGAAATAGCAGTGAGGTAGACAAAGAAAAACCTGAACTCGAACGATGAATGCTTAAACTTCAAAACCGACAGTCATGGGACGCTCTAGGCTCCCGGGTTGAGGTTCCGAGAACAGCGAGCATTCATGGCTTAAGACACCAGCTGACATTCGTGATAGTAGGCTTCAATGGTGCACCTGCTGCGAGACTCTTGTCCGTCAATTTGTATCTGAGCCATTTTCGCATTTTCGCCTTATATATATATATATATATATATATATATATATATGTGTGTGTGTGTGTGTGTGTGTGTGCACTTGAGCAACCTAAGTTTGCGGAGCGCTGCTGATGGTGGTGGGGCTGAAGTCCTTCTTTGGGAATGCGATATCATTACGTCCCGGGAATCAAAGTGAAGTAAACAGAATTCTCATTTGTGAATTAGCATGATACGAATTGAAGTGCGGTTCGAGTAACATTGGCGAAACAGCAGATTATTGTGAAAATCAAAATCCCATGTAAGATTTGTACAGTGTGAGGTGCTGTCAACACTAACAACACGAGAGATGTAAGTTGATTGTCACTCACCTGAATGTCGTCATTAAACGTGCTATATTTCTTGTCATACTTGTGCAGCAAGCGGAAAGCGTTGTGGTTGGCAAAGTCTTCGAATTGAATCAAAACGGACTGCCCATATCTGAAATTTAAATTGAAAAGAAAACTAGTGAGCAAACAAACTGTCGAATGCGGATAAAGGCTTGGTATACAATGTAAAAGTATGCAAGGCAGAATGCAAGTGGCTTTGCACAGGATGCAATTATTCCAAATAATTCTACGTACCACTGGTTTCCTGAAATACCACATTTCCTATTGAAGCATTACTTACTTTATCAGGGTAATCGCCACAGTGTACCTAGAGTAACGACTAGTTTTTCACGCAGTATGATAGCCCGTTTGGCTACAATTAGTTGTTCGCTCTTAACAATTTTCTAGCACAACTGATTTCCGCTGCCACTGGGATGAGATGGGGCACGATTTGTCAGATTCGTGCATCTTGTAATCCCTCAACCTGACCAGTGTGGAATGCTTATCTCTTGCTGATTATTGCTCATCCGTGCAACGATGACACCCCTGCTGCACACAGTGCTGGATCATGTCAATGATTCGAGGCCATCAGTAAGTCATCTGTTCTCGCTTGTGCAACTGACTCGGTCGATTTATCAGTGAAAGGTGCCAAGCGGTCCTATTTATCGGACCCGTACATGAGAACAATGAAATAACCTGGTGTCGTTTAACTGGCGATATATGATTGCCGCACAGAACAACCGAACTTAGTTTCGATCAATTTTAATTCCTTGATGTGAAAGCAGCTTCAACAAGGGATTCTACTTGATCCTCATAGGGAAATAGTGGAAATAAATAGACTGGCAATGTTACCAAAGAACCAAAACCAAACCAAATCACAGACTAAGTTTTGTTAGTTACGGCTACATGCTCCATAAAAGAGCATATGGCAACGATGGCAATCTTCTTTGAGAAGACATTACAGACTGGGAAGGAAGTCAACAACAAAATATGAAAAGCAAATTATTTTAACCGGAACTGTGTAAAACTGCCCATCAACCTACTGAATGTACATCAGGAAACGAAACAGAAACCCAAAAACAAAAACCGGTGAATCAACACTGCAGAATGCTTGTTGGGTTCGCAATCCATCCTGACTAACATTGCTTTCTGTGGTGAAATCAGGTGAAAAACTGATGTAAACTATTGCTATAAAGGGATCATAATACTCAAATAAACTCCTCGGGTACAACCTTCCGAGAGAGGGAGGCCCAGAATTTGTAGCGGTCGACTGCGTCGAAAGCAGCCTCCAGATTAAGAAAGATGGAAATTACGGGTCTGCGAAAAGAATGTCATGCTCCAGAATTTGGCGAAGAGTGAAGATGTGGTCGATACAACCTGGACCTGCCTAAAACCGCTCGGTTCTTACGCGTGCACTCTTCACGTGCGGCAGACAGCCGACGGAGTATAATACCAGCGATAATTTTAGAGGCAATGTTGATTAAACTAATTCCTCTGTGGTTTTCACAAGAGAACCTGTCGCCCTTCGTGTAAATCGGTATGATCACCGATTCACACCATTCAGTTGGAACCTGTTACTTTTCCCACACTGAGCCCAGGAGTTTCGTTAACTCCGAAACCAACGTTGAACCTCCATCCTTAAAAAGCGATGAGGACAGCTCGCCCGGGCCGGAAGCCTTATACATTTTGAGATAATTTACTGTTCGGGTAACGTCCATTTCAGGTGGAGGATTGATGTCAACTGATATTACTTGCCTAGTTGAAGCAGGTCTCCCCATTGTTGAAGACGGCGTTGCTGAATATGAATCAATGTGCCGTCAGACTCCCCAATTACCTCACTTACGCCTACTTTCCTTACTCCAGTACTCTTAATTAAGCGAAGAAGATTGTGACTATTACCGATACCCGCAGTCTTTTACAACTATCTACGCTTACCTACCCACCACATCTTGCGGTCGTTCCTCGGACTCTTGAAGAGCTGGTGTTTAAGAGATTTAAGCGCTTTTTCGTATTTTGCGTCATGTCTTTGCGAGCTCCCGGCAGGGCAACCGAGGTAGCGGTGAACCATCGTTTTTGCTTTGATCCTGCGCCAGAACCCGCTGTTATTCTGATTGACATTTGGATTGCTTCCTTACGGTCGTGTTCACTGAGTCCTTCGGTTGATGGTTCAGCTGAAATGAGATCAGGTGGTTCCGATCTGAAGGCCCATTTCACCTACTGTTGACATTATATTGTGAGCATCTATTTTCGTTGGTTTCTGTGGTCGTTTACTAGGCGTAGGGAGAATCCGGCTCGTAGTAGAGTATGGTTGTTGACTAGTGAAAGCGACAGTCTTCAATGGATCCTCGCCAGTAGTGGCTGATAGTGATGTGGTTGATTCAAGTCCATTGAAGTGAAGAGATGGGCAGTTCCTATGTAAGACGGCGTCGTTTCTTGCGCGAGAAGTTGGTGCTCGAATAGAACAGTCCGTGGTAAGCGAAAAGTTAGAGTATGCTATCCCCGTTGTCCGTCCTGTTAGCTGGGACTGCATATAGACTCTATTGAAACCTTCCTGATTCCTACAATGATCCCACTTAAGTATTGAGGTCTCACGCGACGACTACGATGTCCGCGGACTGTACACTTTGGAGCAGTTGAGAGGTCCTTGTAGAATTCATCCTTTATTTCTGGCGAACTGCAATCGGTCGGTGCATACACGGATACGACAAATAAGCATTGAAGTTTCGTTCTCTAGCTGTTGATCACTACTGAGTGAAAAGAGGATTTAGGTTGAAATAACCTATAATATCTGATTGCTCAGCCTTATTGGCAAAACGCTGAGTGATATCTGGTGGGTGGTGTGAAAATGAGGCAACTGGGATTATTCATACTGAAAGGAAGTAGACAGATGGGGGGAGGACTTTCTAAATGGATGCGTAAGACTTTAGGGCACGACACATTTCGCGGCAGCCCACATCGACGAAGGGGTATTTCTTCGAGAACCGGAGTCTTCGGCCAGTGGGGCGTAGATCCAACATGGGAGCGTGACCGGAGCACCCATGTGGGAGCTTCTAGAGTCCTGTCACTCAAGGCCTTTGGGTCTCGGTTCAGTGTATTGTTCTCTGGTGCGTCGATTGTCGGTCCGTTGTTTGGGATCAGCCTTCAGTCTTCAATGAGACAAGGGGGAACGTGGACGGGACAGCACCTTATTGGTTAGGGGATGCTCAGCTTGGATGGGCGCTAGCTGTCCAATGAAACGCGAAAACTTCTCTCGCCATCAGGAGGAAACCCCAAGTTTCCCGCTCCTACGTCTAGGGGGTATTTTTACCGGTTAAATACCTGTGTTTACTTACTGAAGTGACCTCTCCACGGACGAGAACAGATAGGCAAGCAACTGGCCTTGTGATACTGAGCTTTATTTGATCATACCCACTAACCTTTCAGGAAGGATTGGATTTGCTTTTGAGAGAAGTCATCCTGTGTAGCTCGCAGGGTCGCAGAGGCACACAAGTCATCGCACCACGTGCACCACGGTGCAGTCTCGTTTTGATGACTTCATTGGCGTGGCTTGCCGTGTATATGTTGTTCACTGAAGTATCAAAGATTCATTTTTTAAATCTTTCAAATCTATTTTTTATTCTCGCTCCCAAATCACATGAGATGCCTGCATCTGCCACTCGGACGATATGACTCAGCATTTTACTAGTAAGGTAAAAACAGTTACGGGTTGCAGGATTGAGTGAACCAAAATCATTCACTGGTTCTACACATTATCAGAAAGGCCAACCAACTGTCCTAGCTAGAACCCTTGAAACTTTCAATCTTGACGAATACTGTCTTCGAGATATGCATACGAGACCTCACTTCAATGAACATCCTGCATTCTTGAGATGAAACCACATTCTCACGCTTTACTATCCGTGTCAAGCCATTCGGCATCTGACGCTCGCAATTTTACCGATGTCAGAATGGAGCATGGTTCGAGGGCTGGTCGCTCACTTATTGAGTGGATTCCAGTTAGTAACCAACAGTACACTGGGAGTTTTATTAGTTAAGTACAGATGAGCAATAGAACCAAGCACCAGTGCTTATTCGTCGAGTTCGTGTATGCATGCGAAGAGAACGATAAGCTCCACAATCACCTTTCTCGAGTGGCTCAGTGTCCGCTCAATGGATATCGTAGCAGCTGTTGTCAACATCAGCGATCAAGGGCAATCCTTCCATGAATCAAAACGATGCCTAGGTAGCCCACAGATGGGAAAGATGGTTTTCCAAATGGGTACCCAAGACTTTAGGGCACGGCATACTTCGCGGTAGCTCACACCGACGAAGGGGTTTTTCTT